CAGGAGGGGGGGGGAGAATGTAGCAACATCAAAGAAAAAAAAAAAAAAAAACAAGAAAAACCGCTAAAAGTCAACAGCCGGGAAAAATTTCTCCCAACATCACAAATTTCTCTCAGAAAGCGAATACGACCTCCCCTACCCCAACGATCAAATGCGACCCCATTAACCTCCATACGATGATACGTCCTTAACCTAGTCTTCTTCTTCTTCTTCTGTCTTCTTCTCAACTACGTTAGTCGCCGCGGGATCGCAGAGGTCCGCTGTCTATACCACATCGCCAATGATCGCGATCGACCTGCAATCTCTCTGCCGTGGCTTTTTCACTTCAGTGAGGTCCCTTCTTGATGACGTCCCTCCATCTTTTCTTTGGGGCTCCTCGTGGTCGCTTGCCCTCTACTTCGAATTCCAATGCCTTCCTTATTGGGTGGTCTTCAGGCCTCCTCAGTACGTGCCCATACCATCGCAGTCGCTGCTCTCGTGCCTTCAGCTGGATCGGAGCCGTCTGTGTGACCGCCCTGACGTCCTCGTTTCTGACTCTGTCGAGTCGTGTCCAACCGCAGGCCCATCTCAGCATCCTCATTTCAGCTGAGTGGCTTTTCTTGCGTGTGGGCCACATTCGCTACTGTGAAGCATCTCAGGCCTAACCACTTCCCGATACACCTTACCCTTGAGCGTTCCCGAGCACCGCCGGTCGCACGGGATGCTACCGCCCTGAGCATAGTGCCAGCAGAAAAAACTCCTGCTGGTAGCTATGTCGTCAATTCATGCGCAGTCGTTGCAGTAATCAGAAAGGCAAAAAATTTCGACCGCACTGGGCCTTGGCAATAGGAAGTGAAGAACCCGACGCTAGGGTTGGAAGCTTACTGCTTCTGGACCTCTATCATCGAGCCTCCCGCGAGAGAGTGAGTGGCACACCTTAGCCGACTGTGTAAGTGAACATGGCTCCAACTTTAAGGTAATCCTCCACCGCCCCTTCGAAGTGTACATCACTCTCCAAGTCTTCAAAGCCTACTAAATTCTTCGAGAGTCAAGAACCAATTCGAAATACAGTGTATACAGTAGGCTAAAAATAAATAGCCTTACATCCGGCCTACCGTATACCTCCAATTTGACCCTGTAACCAATGAATTTTTATTCCTTGGACTTATTAATTACCTTCACATATAAAATTGGTTTGCCCGTGTCCTATGACAGATGCATCGATCAAGCCAGCCCTACTTAGTTCTGGCAATCATTCTTCCTCCATGAAAGCTTTTTACGCTTTTGCCTTGAAAATATATTGTCCGATGACCGGACAAAGCGCTTTTTTGAAACTTAGGCTGAATAACGGTGAATAAACACCTCTAGGGAGGGATAAATGAAAAATGTAGGAGGGACTGGGACAGGAGAGCCTGCTTTTTGTGTAATTTCGTTTCTTCCTGAACTTGTCAGCCGAAAAGAAGTTTGTAAAGTCGATTCCGGTACTTAGCCACAGCTCGATTACCCCCTTCACATTGGTGAGACCCTAATCCCAGACTAAGCTAGTGATAATGTGTCGAAGAACTGAAGCCTGTTGGCACCCTCACTTTGGGCTCATCATCCAAATGAGGCTGATTTCCCAGGAACGCCATCTATGTTGTACGAGTCCCTTCCACTACTTCCTACCCTTACGTCTACTTTCCGCAAAATGTTCGAAGCCAGGCATCTGGCTCTCATACAACCCACCACAGTTCACGTTTTAACCGGATTACCGGGTTCGGGAGCGGGAGGGGTAAGCTTTGCTGTCGCCATATAGGCTAGATACACCGAATTGTTGCGAAGCAAAGCGAAAAACGAAATAGGTAAGTACTAGAGCACTTTGTTTCTTAAAATCACGATTTTTGAATTCATTTATCTTTTCTGGGTTAATAAGGAATCAGGTGCGGAATTGAGGTTATGACTCACCATAAAGGTACGGGGGCAGGGCACGCCATCTTTGTGATCATCACAACAGGGGGGTCGTATTTGCCCGCGATGGAGGGGGGTCGTAAACGCATGGCCCATGTTGAAGTGGAGAGAGCGGTGATACACGGTACAAGTAAAAAGAAGCTCAAAAGGGACGATGTAGATGACAATAAATAGAACTAGGCACTATCGAACTATTCCTAGGCCAAAAACTAAAAAAATATTGCTGAAACTTTTTCCTCCTTCCTCACAAAAAACTTCAAGACACTTCGCCCACCAACCCTCCTCATCTGGTCTAGATAAATCCCAATCCACTAATCCGCAAAATCTAGAAAAGAATCCATTGCAAAAGCTACCTATGAAACCGTAGAAATTGAATCCTGAGCAATTTCCTCACAACAAAATCAAACTCAACAAAACAAAATCAAACTCAACAAAAACAAACAATCAAAATAATTCACAATCAAATGGATAAGAAAAAACTCACCAGGCCAGCTGGGAACCGGAACTATGGATTACTTTTGAATTTTGGCTGTTCGCGGTCAGCGCGCTCATACAAGCTCATTGGTGCGCGCTATTTTACGGTTTGGAGCCAATTTCAAGCCAAACACGTGAAAAGTACCCCTCATTTGAACACCCATAACTTCGTTGAAAGTGAAGCTATCGGAGAGGGGTAAGTGGGAATGAGTAGAGCTAGGTTGGCTCTTATCACCTGAATTGAGCGATTTCAAAAACGTTCCGGTTCCAGAGATTTTCCCCGTTGTGATCATCTTTGTGATCCGTCTGTGATCATTTTTGCGAACCGCGAGTCGCTACGCTTTGGACGTCCATGGCAAGCTTCATACACGACCTTTCGTAAAAAAAAGACTGTGCCGGAAGCTTGAAGATTTCTACTTTCCAGCAAGGTTTTAATTTCCTTCCTAGACCTACTATTCGAAAAAATTCCCCGTTGTGATCATTTTGTAATCACCCCCCACACCGAAAAATCAACCCCTCCGAGGCCAGGAAACCTCCAGTTGGCTCGAAGACTTTGGTATGCTTCTGAAACACATGTTTTCGTCAAGCATATCAGGTAATAGGCCATTGGGCGCCAATTGGCATCACATATGCAATGCGCCATGCATGGGGCTTTCACGCAGGTGTTTGAAAGGTGTAACTTCTAGATAGGGCTTCCCAATTGCAAGCAAATGTGCTCCTACGATCAGAAAAGTCCGGGAATGTACTTTCATCTGTTTATTAATCGTCACGTCGTGAGTCCTCTTGTTTGTTTATAAATTCATGGGGCCCTTGTGGGCGGTGATCGTAGCTCCTATCATCGCCCCTTCCTCGTACGTATTGTCAGTATGCTACACCAGCGCCAGAGTGCTGGACGTGCTTGGGACGTACGTAGGTACTGCGACCCCCCCCCCGCTCGACAGCAAAATTTTGTAAAAAAACCAGAAATTTTTTGGGAAAAAATAGACAAAGTGGTAGGAGGTTGGAAAAATCTAGGGAAGAGGTAACATGGGGGGGGGTCGTACTTGAAGATGGAATTAGGGGGGGTCGTATTTTTCAGGAAATGATCACAACGCAATGGCGTGCCCTGCTGGTGGAGATGGTGTAGTGGCGAATAAATCGCTTGCCAAACATGCTGTCTGGAAGCCAAGGAAGATCAGCTCACGCCTAGGCCAACTAAGCCTTCTACCTACCTGGGAAAAGTGAATGCGGACTAAATTTTTTTGGGAGCCTAAAATACTGACTTGTACTTCGGCTGGCTCCCGCAAATCATTCAATTTGTATGGGCCACGTAGGCCACAAGAACAATTCATTACTGAGAGGGACCTTGAAACACAAATTTGGATAGAGGCTCAGAAGCTTTTCCGAAAGCTACTCAAAGCGTCTGAAACTTCTTCCGGGTTGCGGGCTCCATTTCCAGTCTGCAAACGAGCGTTCCCATGAAGATATTAGATCTTGTCTCGGTTCTCTTGTTTTCCAGGTAGAGCCGGCTTCTCGTGATCCAGTTGCTTGTAATAGAGCTTGTTGATCGCATTCTATTTGAGTTCTACGTCAAGCATAACAAGCATTGCCTACTGTGATGGATTTCCAACATTTTCTCGAAATTCCAAGTTGGCCCATTCAAGAATAATTCCTCCTTTCTGCGAATATGTAGGGTAGAGAAGTTGCTTCTGGTCACCAACTAGGCAAAACTACTTTGAGAACTCGTTAGGTTCATGCATATAGGCATCCGCATCCACAATTAGAGGTGGCAGCCGCCCAGATCACTTGGAAGCCGCGCCTCATATTTCCAAGTTTTTTTCGAATTGATTTTGACGAACAGCTACTCTATGACGACATGATGGAGATCTTCCACTAGATCGAGGGTGCCACCCCAAGTGTGCCTACAAGGGCCGCTAAGGATTGCAGCGGACATCCCATACTGGCCGACTGAGTGGAGTTTTTTTTTCTTAAGTCGCTCTTGACAATGTGGTACTAGGCTTTTGCCGTTTCGTGAAAAAGGTTGAGAAGCTCATTTAACTCTTTGGTACCGCTCTCCCATGAGAGCACCACTTTTTAGGGTTTGGCATGTGCTGGAATTAACGTCTTTCTAATTAGTCGATCAGCCCACATGACTTTACTTTCAACTTCCTAATCCACACTTCTCAAGACCATTCCACGCTCATCGCATAGGCGGGGTCAGGCTTGCCATTGTGCCTTCCTTATTAGACCTTTCCCACAGTTTTAGAAAGGAACAAAAAGTTGTTGGAAGGATGACCGGCGGCGGTGGTTCCGTAATTCTGGGCCGAGAAAGTCCGAGCGATTCCCAGAGCTACGAGACCGTTCCTGAACCATGTACCCAGAAGAGCTGAGCTCTCCCTTTCAGGGGCTCTAAAGAATCGATAACACTTTAGTCTATAGGAATTCTATGATAATTAATCACGTTTGAAGGTGCCCAATGCTAAATTGACCCCAATTTATTCCCCAATATCACACCACTCGTCCATTTCAGTGCGCCCGCATCACCAGCAAGGACGAGCGAATCGCTGGCTGCGGCCCTCGAGCGCTCACTACAATACGATCGGAGTCGCGGTCCACCTGCAATGCCACCAGATGCCAAGGTGCTACTCGTCATCGACAAGCAAGGCATTGACTGGTAAGGTCTACTCATTCACTTGGCTCACTCATTCAGTTATTATAATCTCAAAACCTCAAGAAAGTTTGGGCGATGTTCAGCTTGCGGGCGGGGGGATGGGGCGTTTTATACTTCTATGACTTGACTTCCTTGGTGCTACATAATGTAGTTAATGTTAATTAATAGGTCCAAATTTGGTAACTGTGAAACCGCGAAATAGATTTGTAAATGAAAGATGACTGAGTCATTATAGTTCAAAGATTTATAAAACCTTTGACGTTCTCTATAAACTTTGCAGAGCACCATTTGGTGCTCCACCAAGCCAAAATGCACGAAAATTCCTTTTGAAACCTGGTCCATACAGATTTTTTAGGGGTCTAATTGCAAGTATTAGGTTGGCGGGAAAGTTCTGTCACATTTTTTCAAATTAGACTTTCTTTTTACAGAGAGGCGTACAAGATCAAAATTATACAGCAATGTTATTGAGAGATCCTTGCCAGTTTTTGGACAGTTCGTGGATGCCATCGCTTAACAATGCACGCCGGCGCGACGCAAAGTTGGACATCATCTCAACTTTGACTTGGTCGTGGAGGTTTTCTCGGCTGTATACGGGAGGCGACTAGCAGTCAGAAAGAGCAATGTCTGGACTACACCGGTGCAAGGGGAGAGCCATCCAGCTCTATTGCATGAAGTACGGCTCGAACTTTTTTTGACGGGGTGTGCTGCACCAGCACGTTGAAGACGGACTGTGCCGATGGATTTTGCCCTCTGCTTGACGATTCGCTTCAGATCTCGTAGCTGCCTTGCGTACGGATTGACCGAGGAGGCAGCTTCTTCATCCAGTAGTTTCCCGACCCACCGCTATCTAGAGCTGAGTTTACAGGTACTCCCGAACCTCACTTCGTCATTCGAACCGTAGGCTCCCGCTCTGGAGCGCTACCGTCGTGGAAGATCGTCTGATAATTGGAGACATTGTCCTTATGCAGCTCCATTATTTCGGCGTCGACAGCTGTCATGCTGGCGCCAGGGTGGTAGAAGAAATAGTTTAAGGAAGCGCTTGAAGGGGTCGTGCTGAAGGTAGCGGATAACATTCTTGTCCATAATGCAGAATAAGGATGAGCAGGAGCCGAGCCAGTGACACTAATAGAAAGATCAATCCTTAATGTATAAATGCTCACATTAGCCCTCTTCAGGTAATAGGCGAATACTTGGGTCATAAAAGGTATGACAGAACTTTGCCGCCAACCTAATATAATAGTTCCCCCATTAGGCCTCAAACTAGTGACTGGCTTTTCGCACCTAACCGTTGTAAACGTGCATTTGGTAGTGATTAAGGTTTCGCAGATCGGCTCGGTGGAGGCGAAAAATAGTACTAAGCCAAGGTACAGAACACCATTGTAAAGACCTGTGGTTGTCTGTACCCAAAGTGGTTCCCTTGTAAAGACCCGTGGTTGTCTGTACCCAAAGTGGTTGTCCGCGCCATTTCGCACTTTATGACAGTTTGAACTAACAAGGGGAACTAGTGGAAGTCTAAATGTCCCTCAAGGCCGAAGAGCGTCAAATTGAGGCACAAAAACTAGGTCTTCTAAAAAGCCCAGATCCAATGGTTGCGGCAGATCACAGATTCCTGATGAGGACTTTTTTTCAAGGCTTTCGCGGTCTGGTAGGGTTCGGATTGACAGCGAGGGCTTGTTTCGAGAACGAAGCGACTAATCGAATCAGGAGCTCATTGGGAACACACATTGCCCCAGCCTTTCCACCGTCATTTTTCTTTTTAGGCGGAAATGGCATTCTTCCTTCACTTATCCACTAGCCGAAGAAAATCTGCGAAACTGAGGGCTTCATAATACGAACACACGAACGAACACAACAGTGCATGAATCTTACAATCTTACATGAATCTTACAATATTGTTAGAGATTACTGATTACTATTGCTTTGCCGTATTCCAAGCTCGTCTGATGGGAGGATTCGAGCGCACGTCATCCCTTCCTTATTGGCGCCTATCTCCTCAGAATCTTAGAAGAGAGCTGTCAATGATGAGACATGCCGCTCCGCTCATATGATCGTGAACCTCTTGAACCCTTACAGATCTTCAGCCCGATTTTCATCTGCACTTATATTGGGTTGGTCCGTAAGCACTATTCCCTCTTTTCTTTTTTCTCACTTGAAATACCGTGCTAAAGATGAGAACTTCTACCATTGAGTTTTGGGAATTCCTTGCCCTATACGATAGTCTTCATAGCTTTCTTGAAGTCTCTCTTACCACTAATATTTAAGCGCTCAAACTAGAGTGTCAGGTCGACGAAATTGAGCATTTTCGACAGCCGCGCTTTTTACTTCTCGTTAGAAAGCTAAAACCGCACAGGCCCAGTTGCTAAGTATATAGCAAAGAGGCAATGTTTCTAGGAATGCTTACGATGGTTTAGGTGATTCGAAGATTCTAATTGCAACCTCACTGATAAGCATCGAACCTACTGCCCTACTGAGACCAACAAAGAGTTTGCGGAGTTACTTTATTCAGGGAGATTCATGCCAAAAATTGAGAATTGTAAGAGATCACAGCGATGCTTTCTTATTCACCACAAGCATACTCCACTTGAAAGGAGAAGTTCCTCAAAGCTCAGTGGATTGTTGGGTTCTGCACGGCAGTCGGTGTGGTCTCGAGATGAGCACCCCATGCAATGCACATTCACAAATTCCCGAAGTCCACCTTGATCGATTGAAGACTTCAGGGATCACAGCAGCCATCTCCCTCCTTGGACATGTAACACACGTCATAGCTTTATCGGTAGTTTTGAGAGCGGATAAACGGCAAAACTTTGTTGTCAAAAAAATTCTATTTTGCGTTCAGTGCGACCCCGAGCTCCCACTGCATTAAATAAAAAAGTGACAAAAAAGTTTAAAGAATGTAAAAGGCGCTTTACACTAATCTTCTGAGCGGAAAGTATCTTAATCAAACAGTGCAGAACAACTTACAGTAGAAAATATGTCATTTTTCCACATCAAGAATTTGTGTGATAAAAACGCAGCTACTTGCCAACGTAATACTTTTAGCGAATTATCAACCAGCGAAGCTCCCAAAGTAATGGATTTTTTTTTTTTCAACGCGAGTTGGTAGGCACTAATAAATAGTTGATTTCAGGACCAAATATTTCCGGAATCCCAACGATTTCCCGGTACGGGTTGAGCAGGTGATTTTCTGTTGTTTTGTGTATTACTCAGTTTTCGGTAAGCAAGCATGAGTCTCTGATGAATTAGTTTATCAAAAGAAAGGTAAAGTTTATCGCTTTTAATCCAATTTGTGCGGATTGCGGCACGCATTTCACTCCATTTCAAAATCGCATGAGTGCTTAGTTAAATGAGATTCTGGCCATACAGTGGGCTTCGGAGGCCAGAGCCGATGGTACAAGTCAGTATCTTATTACCCACAAGAATTTGGACCAATTACCGTCTCTGGGAGGGTACAAGGCCTTGTTTGCCGTACAGCGAGTCGAGCCGCGAACTGTGAAACCCAGCGACCGCTCGAATGGTAAGCGCTCCACTGGCACTACAGCACTTCCCCTTCGAAATGTTCACTCTATGAAAGAAAAGTACGTTTTACTTCAAAAAGGTTAATCCTTGTCGCCATCGGTGCCCCATATAAGCTCATGACAGAAGGAACATATCACGCTGGACGTATAGGCGGAGGCAGTTAACCACAAGGTCTTTTATTCTATTCCTCTTATGGGAGATAATCAGAGAAAATGTGCGAGACTTGTGACAATGCTCAACAAGAGCGGAAGCAGGATCCATGTCAGAGTGTGTCCCACGAACTAAATGTCTTGTTAGACTTCTTGGCTGCGAAAGCTGAGATTCAGCCTGAGTTCTCGCCCACTTCCAGGATGAGGCGCTTTTTGGCGGGAACTCTAATCGAGGCCAATACCACGCTCATGATGTATATAAAACAACGCTTTTGAGCCTTAGGGTTCCACTACATACTAGTTAAATCTCACGGTTAAGACACACGAAATCTTCAAGGTGTTGGTTTTTAGGCTGACTTTACGGAGCTCGACGTACTTTGCACCGAACACAGTTTGACAATAGAGATCAATCAAGTTGGACGGGATCCAAGGTAAGCAAAGATTTCCGATTCAGTTCGCCCCAATTTTTCTGGCACAGTGTGGGCTTTTCGCCTTGGGAGGGGAAATTTAATTCCTCTAGCACCTATTCCAAGTCAGCCTTCTTCTCTTACCAATGAACTGCAGGATTAAACACTGTAACTGGACCATTGCAGAACCTTCTGTCCACAAGCGGCTTTCGTTGGTCCGTCAGCCACGCACAGCCCTCAGTCAAAGACGATTCTTCGGGCGATGATAGCCGCAAATATCCCTTTCGTCAATAGCCATACGTCAATGATAGCGTTTATGGACAAAAACAACTTGGTCAGTATTAGAACGAGTTTTCCTCCCTTTACCTTTTTGTGTAGTGACCGAATATTCACAAAGAAATAAGTAAATAGGTAAGTAACCATAATGTAAATAAATAAGCAGATAAGTTAATGTTGAAGAGCCACATTTTCGGACATTTTCGTTTTACGAGGTTTTTCGCTTGAAGCAAACTTCCAATTGCAGCGGACCGTTCCTTGGTCGTAACCATTGGGATACGCCCTGCAGTTAAGGAAAATTTTTGCGAAATACGACCTCTTCAAAATTCTCTAGTTTGATACGACCACCATTCCCTACCTTACCCACTACCTACCACCTGCCTCCATTCTGCCAGCTTCTCCACTTTTACAGAAATTTCTCCAATTTCGCCCCAGGAAGCCTGCTTTCGAGCCCATACCGTGAAGGGGTCATAGCGCACATGAAACAGGAATAACCGATGGAAAGTCAACAGCCAAAAGCATTTTTTTCAAGGGCCAACACGATTCCCACCTATTTGGGGATCTCCATAACATGCACCGTGCCCTGTCAGCAACACGATACTGTAAAACCAGGCCTTCAAAAGCGCGATCTCGATGCGACTTCCTCACAAGCTGCCCCTACGACCAATTCGGGCAGTACATTCGTATCCTACCCGAATTTTCCGGAGTTTTCGCTCTCTTTCGGCAGAGGAGCTATACACCTCTGACCAACCATCAGAAGTATTAGGCTCGGCGAACCGCGGACTAGGGGATGGGAGGTTGTTAACGCCACATGCAACCCCTCCCTGATGGAGACTCGTGCGAAAACTACATATAAGCTACAAGGACCATATGTTTATACTATTATCATTATTTATTTATTTACTTACTTATTTATTTATTTTGCATTGTAATAGTGTGCCTTACAAGTGAAGACAAGAGCAAAGACCTAGGAGAATACTCATTTATGAATGAAAGCCACTATGATTATGGTTATTGCTATTTACTCCATGAATAATTTTCGTATTTTACTCTTATTTCAGTAGCTCCCTGTGAGAACTTACTGAAACTTGCTTCGAAAACATTTTCCTAAATCTTCAACTCGTTTTCAGAAGAAACAACTGCGTAAACTGGTACTATCCGATAACAACCGAATCCCGTTACTGCCGACGATACACTATCCACACTTTCATCGATTTGTAAGTATTATAAAACACTCCGATATTTTCAATGAGCTGCCATGGCAATGTGCAGCATTACAATCGATTTGGTTGCAATCAGTCGCGATGGGGTCAATAAACATGGAATGAGCCCGCGACATAAGATTATAGGTTCAGGTTGTCAGGCCACCTACAGTACCCCCGTGAAATTGCGCGTGGGATTAATTGTGTTGTCCGTGAATGCACACAACGGGGCCTGGCTCTAAGCGGACCACTTATTTTGGGCGTGGGAGTACTGCAGCCCAGGCCACGGGGAAGTGCCTGCGAAGACGGGCAGGTCGTTGCCCGGTTGACCGCCGCACACCAGAACTTCCCCCTGCGCGCGTAAAGCGCGCGCTTGGGTTGACGTCAAGGATGAAACGTACATCCGGTTATGCAAAAGCCGTATAACGTGAGTGAATATTATTTGTCGCTTCCTCACTAAGTGGTCCCACCAGTTTAGTTCTGAACGGGATATCTAGTGAATTAAGCCCTGGGGTCCATCAAGTAGACTGTCAAACGGCTTTTAGATTAGCTCGAACAGCTGTGCAATCGATCAAGCACTAAACTAGCAAAGAAGGCCAAAAGGCCAAAAATACTATATCACCCTTCATATCTTCGAGTATGCGTTAGCAGTTTTCTCTCCCCAAAACCAGTATTTCGGAAGGATAAAAGGATAAAGTCTTCGCCGTTGATCAATCCCTTTGTGGGATGCGGCACGCATTCTACTTCCATTCAGAATCGTAGTGGCTTATTGAATGCGATGTGGCCTATACAATGACTTGCGGTGGCCAGCCGATGTACAAGTCAGTGTTTTATCCTCCCAGACGAATCTGGTACCAATTTACCGTCCCCGGAGGGTAGAAGGCTTGGTTGGCCTGGGCGGGAGTCGACCCGGGATTTGAACCCGGCGCGCAAGTGGTAAGCGCGCCACTTGTCACTACACCACCTCTCCTCTCGGAAGGGTGTAGGCGAAAGCTTTCCAAGAAAAGGTGTGTTTTGACATGCTGGCAATGTATCAGCAAAAATGGGGAAAACCTCGGAATTACTATGCTGTTCCTTTTTCGTTATAGATCTACTGAGCGTTCCCTGCAAGTAATCACTTCTCCTACAGACTGGTCCAGATTAGCACCTTACTCGCAGCAGATGATGCTGCGTGTCAGGTAGAGGGTTGGGTTTAGAGTGACGCCAAGCTGGTGAAGAGTACAACGATTGCTGGAAAACACGCTGCTGCCGCGCCCGACCCATCCGTGGACAAAACCGAACGCTTTTCGATAAGCCCTTTGACCAGTTTTCTTTTTCTGCATGAAGATTCACTCTTGCTTTTGCTACCTTTTCAAGAAATATGCCAACTCACCAAGCCTGGAGATAGTGCGCCTCGTATCCTTGGACCCGGTCCTTGAGCGTGATATTCTGTTCTGTTTCGGTTCCTTCTGTTTTGTTTCGGTTCCAAGTGCGAGAGAGGTTGCGCTGAGTTGTGCAGACGGTTAGGCCAAGTTTCGCTGAAGCGAAAATAGTCCGATCAGTTGAAACGGTAATTTTTGAAACAAGGAAAATATAGGAAACATCTTGTGATTGCACGACAAAAAATTTGGCGACGCTGTTAGGCCTAAGGGCAGCGAATTGCCATGGTTCGCTGAATTCTTTTGATAGTTCCTGTTAAATTAACGTCTCGCCTTGGTGAGACCTGCAGAATCTTGTTTTGTGAAGGCGACGCTTGTGCTACTGCACAGTTTTACAAGGATCAGGTCTCTATAAGAAGCATCGGCATTCGGGACTAGCAAAATGCCCCCACCAAGCCGTCAAAACTTTTCTCTTTGTTATAATACCGTTTCACTACAGTCATCATAGTTAGGAGTTGACGTGAGAAACTAGTAACCGTCTATTTTACCGCACTGTTACCCATCCCCTGCCCTCCCTCCACTCCTGGTGTCAACTCTTAACTTGGCTTATCAAAGGTTTGAGAAGGCAATTGAATGGCGCTTTATTTTTATGGGAGATGGTGTAGCGACGAGGAACACAGTTACCACGCCCGCGGTCCGGTGATCAAGTCTTGGATCGGCTACTGCCCAAGCAAACCAACTTCCTTCCTTCAAGGACGGTGAATCGTTTCAGATACCTCTTGGAGGATGAATACTAGCTTGTATGTCGGCTGGAACCCATCCGTTTACTGTGGCATTTCCACGTCGATTCATTTAGGTCCTCATGCACGCGCTTGCAGCGCTGCTTTTCGTAAGGCCGCAGCTCGTATCTTCAGGCCTAACTGGTACGAAATAAACG